CAGTTGGCGGGATTCGAACTCGGGACCTAACCCTTGTGACACTTCCTTGCCACCGGTTGAGCTACATGCGTCAACGCCCCACTAGTTCTTTTTTAATTTGATAATCATGCGTCAAAACTGTGAAACACTCACCTAGTGACCTACCAAGTTTAATGCAATTTATTTTTACACGCAACGCCCCACATTAAATTTGAAAGTGCGGTAAGATGTTGTCCGGGATTTGAGTCCGATTTTTGCAAAACTGATGCTTTGGTAAAAAAAATTAAATTGACACTTCTAGTACTCAGTAGTATACTCTATTTTCAATTTAGAGAACACTTATCACATTTTTCCATAACAGTGGCTAAATAGCATGAATGATTACAAGCCAGTTTGATAATTTCTCATTTCAATTAATCAGTTTTATTAATAATTTATTTATCAATCACGTAAATTTTGATTTCACATTTTGAATTGTTTAATTTATTGAAAGAAAGACACATTTGGTTATGTAGAGTTCATTGTTTAAAATGGAATGAGTCAAGTAACGTGAGCAAATGGAAACAATCTAGAGGTCGTAGATGCACTTGGTACTAATGGTCTGTTAGCTACTAGCTGATCATTTATTTTAGCGACAGTTAGACCTAACCTACGTGATTAGGTGAATGTCTAAATTTCTTACTTTCCTTTTTGGGTAGATCTAAAATAAATTTCACATTTCTATTGTTGGTAAGTTTTTAACATAAAGTTACCCTTATACTCTTACTTTATTACCTACTTTACACGAGTGCGTATACCGTGCAACCGGTATACGGTGAGCACCGTATACCGGGACGGTTTTTTTTTTTTTTCCTTTTGTTTTTAAAAAATGGTTATAACTTTTTTATTTTTGATCCGATTTTTATAAAATTTATATCAACATTTTTTATTTTTCATGATCTTTCAAATGAGACCAATATTGCCTATGTAATTTTAACATATTAACATTTGTGGGTAAAATATGTAACTTTAAGTGTTAAAATATGTAACTCACGTTCAGTCAAGTCAAATGCAACTCGTGTGTATAAATATGTATCTCTACGTGTAACAATATGTAACTTTACGTAAAAAAATATGTAACTTGCGTTCAGATAGGTCAAATGCAACTCGTGTGTATAAATATGTAACTCGTGTGTATAAATATGTAACTTAACGTGTAAAAATATGTAACTTTACGTGTAAATATATGTAAGTCGCGTTCATGCATGTCAAATGCAACTCGTGTTTATATATATGTAACTCGCTTTTAAAAAGATGTAACTTGCTTATAAAAAGATGTAACTTGTTTATAAAAAGATGTAACTTGCTTATAAAAAGATGTAACTCGCTCATAAAAAGATGTAACTCAATGTATTATCAAATGTAACTGAGGCCACTGATCCACTCCCAAACAGATTCGATATTCTATTTCACAAACCTATCATCTCCCAAACAGATTCGATTTTCCTTATAATCCAATACTCATTAATATAATAGTTCGATAATTTCTTAAAATTACATAAGCAATATTGGTCTCATTTGAAAGATCATGAAAAATAAAAAATGTTGATATAAATTTTATAAAAATCGGATCAAAAATAAAAAAGTTATTATCATTTTTTAACAACAAAAGCAAAAAAACAAAAAGGGGAGGAAGCAAGCTGAGTCGTTTTGCAACCGGGCGCACCATCCTCATGGTGCGCCGGTTGCATGGTATAATTTGCGACTTTACACCCACTTTTTCTCTCCTATTACACTTTATCACCTTTTTGTAGAGGCATGATGAGAAAGTCAAAAGTAAAAATTTCACTTTCTTAAAAACCATAAAGTCAAACTATGAAGTTTATTTAGGACCGGAGGGAGTATAAAAAGAATTGATTCTCTGAAAACCCCCATTCATAATAAATTTTTCATATTAATTTATTGTAGAATTTGAAGGTTTTCGAGATAAACTTAATTTCACTTTAATAAACCAAAGCTCTTAGCATAAAATAAAAACAAGCAAGGTGGATCCATTAATTAAAAATATAAGAATCTTGGTCCACTTTTAAAGTGACAATAGTGTTGTGATTATAGTCATGGATAATGAGAAATTAGCTTAAGTGATATATCATTGTTGTTGCAATTTACATTACACTAACCATGACCATGAACTCACCACAAAAATAGTTACATTTTGATACATAAATTTGAAAAACCACATTAATAAAAACAAGTTCTTATTATCATAACATCGTCGTTCATTTTCTTATTATATACGGAGTATAATATTTTATCTAATACCAGAACGACGGCTCATTTTAGTAATGACAAACCTTCTAATGTCACTCAACTATCACTTATAAAGAATACCGAGTATTAATACTAGAGTTTTTTCTCAAAGGAGGATAGTCTTCGATCTTATTTCCTAATTGATGGTACTTTTAAACTTATTTCCCAAACGAGGGTAGTTTCATGGTATCCAATTTCTGCCACATCACCCACTTCACATCCTCCGTCATTCCACGTCATCAGCCATATGGGTATTCTTTTAAAATGTCAAAAAAGCTGAAGTCGTCAGGAATCAAACTCACGACCAAAATGATGCACTTCCATCTTCAACCCACTAGACTAGGGAGAACTATCAAATAAGCCCTCGAACTTTCATAAAAAGTGCAAATAAGCCCTTTTACAAGAGGCTTTGTCCGGCTGTCGCCATTTGAGGCAGTTTCTGGTGGAATTTTTTTATGAAATTTTTTTAGCATCTTCTTCATTCAGTCTAGTTTACCCATACCAAATTTCAGCTAAAAATTATATCGAGAAGGTAGTCAAATGATTTTCTGAAATATACTGCGATGTCTAACCGTGCAGTTATCTTCAAAAATTCATTTGACTGCTTTCCCGATTGAAATTTTAGCTGACATTTGGTATGAGTAAATTAGAATTAATGAAGAATATTCTCAAAAAACTTCATCAAAAAATTCCATGAAAACCGTCCCAAATGGCGGCGGCCGGATAGAGACTCCTATAAAAGGGCTTATTTGCACTTTTTATGAAAGTTCGAGGGCTTATTTGGTAGTTCTCCCCACTAGACTACATTGACTTGTTGGTACTATCACACCAAAATGATACCTAGTATATATTTTTAATACAACGTATTTTAATATATGCAATTCAAAAAAAAATTAAAAATGTTCTACCTTATTTAAATAAAATAAGAAAGAAATAAATGAGAACGGATGTACTAATTCATCCAAAATTTAATGAAAAAATCTTATATTACTAATGCAAAAGAATGCAAAAATATATATTTCATGTACAAAAATTAAAAAAATTCAACACTAAAATACAAGTTTTTACAATCATAATTTAAGTATTTTACAAGTCTGAGGTGGATTTGAACCTATTTTGACATTTATTTATTTTTTATTTTATTTAGAGTAGATTTAATTTTAAGTTATTCTTGTATAACATATATCAAATTACGTTTTTATTATAATTTTTAATTGACTTTTTATTTTTTAATTTTATATCTGAAATTAAGTATTTATCATATTCTTTTTTTAATGTTATGTTAGCATATTCTTTGATTGTTTGAAGAATGAGTAATATATCTCTAAAGGAACGATTAGTACATGAATTAAGTTGGTGATGTTGTGTGCTTAAATATATATCTCAAACATACTACTATAAAGGTTCAAATCCACCTCAGACGTGTAAAATACTTAAATTATGATTGTAAAAAAACTTGTATTTTAGTGTTGGATTTTTTTTTAATTTTTGTACATGAAATTTATATTTTTACATGTTTTTGCATTAGCAGTATATGATTTTTTATTAAAGTTGGGATGAATTAGACCATCCGTTCTCATTTATTTGTTTCTTATTTTATTTAATTAATGTAGAGTAATTTTAAATTTTTTTACTTGCATATATCAAAATACCTTGTATTAAAAATATATAGATGTTAAATGTTTGTAAATGTGTGATTGTACCATCAAGTCAATGTAGTCTAGTGTGTTGAAAGATGCTAGTGCATCATTTTGGTTGTGAGTTCAATTCCTAGGAGCTTCGGATTTTTTTATATTTTAAAAGATATACCCATATGGTTGATGACGTGGAATGACGGATGATGGTGAATGATGTGAAGGGAGTGATGTAGCGGAAATTGGATGACATGAGAAAAATTACCCACATCTAAGAAATAAGTTTAAAAGTATCTCAATTGAGAAATAAGATTGAAACATATCATTCCACAAAGACACGAAGCTATAATACGAAGTAATATGATTTCTCCACAAAGACACGAAGCTATTCATTCCACTATATTATTTCAATCAATAAATGATTTCAAGAAAAAAATCACTCGATTCAAAAAACAAATAACCATATCACGTGTTCTTTTTTATCCTTCTAACGTCGGCATACTAATTACTCCCTATTATTTTAGACAAGTCTCTCAAATAGTCAAATTCATCTCTTCCTATCGAGATTTGATTCACCAAGAGTCTCTTTGGTAATACATATTTTTGGCTTATTAATTTTATTATTCATCTTTCCTATCAATTTACAATTTTACACGCTGAACTATATAATAATCAAAATAAGTAGGAATAAAATTGTGTTTTCGTTTAGGTGAATCAATATTGTTGAAACTTTAACTATTTTCATATGTTTTTCTCTAATTTCAATAAAATTTTCACAATTCAAGTCATGAGTAAATTCAACAAGTTCCTTCAAAATTTCACTAAGTTTAAAAAATTCAGCTAATCAATCAATTTGAGTAGGAAAAAGTCATTTGTATACATGATTGGTACACATTTGTTATACACAGACACCTCGTTCAGAAACTCGTGTGTATATATATACCATTCATTCAAAATGTGTAGAAAAAAATGTGTACAAAAAAATGTATCGCATGTAACACTCCTCATCTGAATATTATGAAACGAACTCTAGATCAGTACACTCAGTTGTCTTTTATTCCTCCTGTATTATTGAACTCAACGCTGGCTTAATTTATTGTCATCTCTGCCCTGCGCTTTCGGTCCATCACTCTCCATCGCCATAAATACCATTGCTCCCCTGTCCTGCCATTTCTCTTTCAATTCAATTCCCCTTAGCTTCTTCCATTCCCCCCTCATAAAAACACCATTTTGTACTCCGATCTCTCTATCCCACTGTCCGTCCCTAGCTTTTGGAGAAATTTCAAATGGCCGAAGAAAGTAGCATCACAGAACCAGCGAGCGGTTCGCCGGCGACTGTTCGCAGCGTGCTTCTCATCTCCGCCGGAGCCAGCCACTCCGTCGCTCTCCTCGGTAAGCATATCAATACGGAGTATGATTCATCGAATTGACCTCAACATTGAATCGAGGTCAAAATAGATTAGATATTGTAGGGGATTTGTAGATTTCGCTTTCATGACGGCTTAGGTGTGAAAGCGTTCACGCAATAAAGTAAAACTCCGTCGTTTCCTGAATTTGCTTGTCACTCAGGTTAGGTAATTAACCGAGGTTCCATTGATCCCGATGGTACACGTTACCCTACTTGCCCAACAAGTTATTAGGGTTAAATTTGTAAATTCAAACGGTATCATGCTCGTTCTTCCATTTTTCTGTCCCGAGTGTCGTCCTCTATAATTGTTCCATTTTTTCATTTTGGATATCTCATACGCATTATTAATGTTTCATATCATATTTGTTATTCCCTCCGTCCTCTTATAATTGTCTCATTTTTTCATTTTTGGATGTACCTTTATTATTGTCTCATACCATATTTGGTAGCATTTGTGTGGCTCTAATTCATTTTTACTTTATTTCCACTTTATCAACTCATTACCAACCACATAATTCTACTTTTCTTAAAAACCACACCACTCCCTTCCGTACCAATACTAGGGGGACGGAGGGAGTAATATTTAGATGTCTCTAATTCTTTTTTACTTTATTCTCACTTTATCAATTCAATATCAACCACATAATTCAATTTTTCTTAAAATCCACGTCACTCTCTTCCGTCCCAATATTAGATGAACGGAAGGAAGGAGTAATTTACTGTCATAAGTTAGTTATTTTTACTCTGTGAATAATCTCTCGATCCCCTTTCAAGGCTTTTGAAAGTTTGACTTTCTCTTAGACTAACTTTAATCCCACTCCGTCAATAAATCAAATTTCTTTTCAATTTATATCTATTCAATCAATCATTTCAGTTTTTACTGCAATTTATCACCATCAATATATTCACCCTGCAAAGTTTTTTAATTAAAATCTTACATTTATTATTATACATTAATTTTTTTCCGAGTTTTTTAGCAAACAATTATGACATAAAATTCAAACATTTCAATGTAGAAATAAATAAATTTAGAGTTTAATTTTATTTTTGTTAATCCAGACTATTTTTAAATAAAAATATTTGAAAGATGTAAAACGAGTATTTTAATTATGACATCTTAATTTTAGCACCTGAATATATTTAAGAAAATTTTGGATTTGAAAATCTTAATCAGTTTAAATTTCATATTTTCTCTTATAACTTAGTATGTGCAATAGTGGTGCCATATGAAAGATAACAAAAAGTTAAGAAATTTGATATATTTTTTTATAAAAATTGGAGTATAAATAAAAAAGTTAGAGCACTTTAAATAAAATTGGGATTTATATTTTCAATGGGACCCATTTTATTCTTTTGATGCGCAGCTAATTTCTTCTCCTTTGACTGAACGAAGAGTCAAGGAGGGTGGGGTGAATAAGGTTGCTACTTATCTACCCACTTTAGCACTTCCTAATACAAGGGTTGTAGAGATTGATGTTGAAAATCTCAAAATAGTCTTTTCAAACAAAGGATTGAAGTCAGCCTTATTGTGGAGGTCAAAATTGTCATTTCATTTTAGGAGATACTTAATTCTTTTAAAGTATTTAATTAATTGTCACAAATTGAAATCAATAAGTAACACTGAGTTTACGATACTGGATACTCCCTTTATTCCTACAATAATTGAAAATTACATTGGAGAGAATAATTAAGAAAAAAGAAAGGGTTTTTTCCCCTAATATTACTAAATTGGGGTGAATTTCCAAAAATGTGAGTACTTTTAAAAATTAACAAAAAAGTGATTAACAAGGTCATATATTTGGAATTGGAAAACATGATGTCACTGCAGTCTGCAGAAAATTAATGTCACTGTGTTCGTTTTTTCATGTCACTAGAGTGCTCACCGTCAAATTTTTTCAGGCCAGTTACACCACCACCGCCACAGTGACACCGTCATAGTGACGCTGCCACAGTTACGCCCCTTCTCCCCTGCCATCACGCCATCTCCTTATCGAAAAAAAGGAAAAACATGTAACTGTCGCCAAAATTGCCGCGGTCGACACCACTGTCGATCAACCGCCACCCCGACTCCCAACTCGCACTCAGCCCTGCGCACACACCCGACAACCCCACCCTAGCCCACCAGCTCCTTCCCCAACCCCCACACCCCCTCTCAGTCCCCTCCCCAACCCACCAGCCCCTCCCCTACCCCCTCCCAGCCCCCTCCCCTGAGACACCCAACCCCCTGCCCCTCCAGCACCACCACGCCCCAGCCCCTCGAGCACCACCCGACCATTACCAATTCAACCATCGACCAACGCGGCCACTGCCACCCTGACCACCGATGAACCTGACCAACACCATCTTTGACCACCACCGCCCCGACCACCTCCCAGCCCAGTGACAGATGCTCTTGCCAGTTTCTGTAGCCCTCTCAAACCTCACAGCTGCCATAACCTGCCCAACGTCGTCCGCCCATCCACCACATGTTTTCTCTATCCCCAATCGCGCCTCCGCCTAACCTAGCCGACGAATCGCCGCTCGGAACAAAATCTCTGATCTGCTCGTAGGTAGGCATCATAGACGGGCGTTGACAACTAGCCTCGTCCATCGAAATAAGCCAAACACCTTCGACAGGAATCACTGTCGCTCTCCATGACAGAAGAAACTCCGATGTGTTCCCAGATTCACCGCCCCATCAGTTCGAATAGAAGGAGAAGAGGGGAGAATCAGAACTGTGACAGAGGCGATGACTTACCTGAGTGCACTGGTAGGCTGCTCTAGCCGGATGGGAGCTGCGGCGGACAGAGAAGAAGGCTGCTTTGGCCAGATGGGGGCTGCGGCGGACTGAGAAGGAGCTTGCTCTGGCCAGATGGGGGCTGGCTTGGTGAAGGCGACGAAAATGTGTGGTGTCCAAAGGATTACGGTTAATGAGGAGTCACATTTTTTGAAAATCCCAAACGACTCATATAATTGGATCCCAAAAGCCTGACAGTAATATACCGGTCATTAATTCAAAAAGAAAACATCAAAATTTTCAGAATGTGAGAGAAATAATGCAAACTACAAATATTTGTTTCCTAATATTTTTTTGAATTTTTTTTTTATCAGAGAAGAAAAATGTGTTATGATTTCGGGGGAGAGTAGAAAACAAAAATCAATTTATTGACGGCGTCGGTACGCGCCAGGTTCTGGGTAAAAGAATCAAAGATACGGAGTCAGAAATCCGACGCAAGTCCTATCATTCGCGACTGACTAAATTACCCTTTTGGCTTCAACTAGATTCTATGGCAATATCAATTATTGGTGTCTGGAAATGTCCAAAATAAATACTCCGTACAACACTCCGTAATCTTTGGAACTGTTTTTAACCTTTTCCCTATTCTCTCATTTTGTACTCGTAAATCGGAACAAGACTCGCAAGGGGAAACCCAAATTTGAGATCACAAATGCTATATGTATCTCAATTTGTTTACACTTTGCATACAAATTTGGGGTACATGAAACATTCCTCTTTTCAGATTTCAGATTTCAGATTTCAGATGAACCTCATCTTTTCTTTCGTAGTACGAAGTGTTTCTTCCATTATTTTTTAATTGCAATGTTTTTATTTCACATTTGTTAACACATACGGAGTACTATGTAGTTTTAGGATGTTTTCTTTTGGATTGTTTTCAGTCCTAGACCAGATCAGATTTAAATAGATCAGATCAGACTTAAACAAAACAGATCAGACTTAAACAATTATAAAATACACAAAAATCATACAATTACCATACCAATTCAGACCAAACTAGAATTAAACAGACCAAGGCTGTGTTTGGCATGAGCTTTTAGCTCATAATGGCCTGAAATTCTTTAAGTTTAGTCAATGAATGTAAAAGTAGCCCTGTTTGGATAGAGGGCTAAACATAGCTTAATCTGAAAAAGAAGGACTAAATCACAACGTTATGATCCCTAACATTTGTATTCAAACAAAAGTCTCTAATTCAGACATTAGTCTTCACCTTCAACTCCTTGTGCCAAACATAGCCCAAACCAGACCAAACTAGACCAACTCATTTCAGCCCAAAGATGTTAATCATTGATATATTTTATTCTTTATTAGTAAGAAAAATGATATTTTGAAAATTTGAAATAACAGAAATTTAATACTACGTAATATTTTTCAAAAATTTAGTTTCTTCTATATTAATAAGTAAAATATGATTAATATAGTATTATATTCAACATGTATTCTCACTAACTTTTGTCCGATTCTAAAATTTAACTCCATTGTCTCAATTTAAAAAGAATACTGATAGGTCTACTTCAAAATTACAACTTTGATTAGATCATCTCCAAACAATGCCTACTCATCCTATTTAAATATCACTTGATTGACTCGTACTCCGTTATTTAAGGATATGTTTATTTCGCTGTTAATTTAACTGTCAGTTTATAAACACAGCTGAAGTACACAATTTGTTGAATAAATATTCGTTTAGTAGACACTTTTTATGTCTTACATGGTTTCTTAGTAAGCATCACCTCCATGTTTAATTAAACTTGTTAAACTTTTTATATTGACAAGTATACTCCTTGCATTCTAAATAAAAGTTCCCATAGTACTCTACCTCGGACCCCACCCTCTTAAGCACGGCCCCTACGACTCCTACCCCTACACCCACCCTACCTATCCCTACCATGTACCCCCACCCCACTTACCTCACCAACACCCACCAACCCCATACCTCACAACCCCCAACCCATACGGGCCCTTCCCCTCCCCCTAACCCCACCCTACCCCACAACCTCTTATGCAACCGTGGCCCCTACACCACCCCTAGAGCACCCTGCCCCTACCCTTCTCTCCCACCTCCCACAATCTCCTACCCATAAGGCCTCTAACCCCATTACCCCTACATCCCAATCCCCTACTCGTAGTGGGGGTAGGGTGGTGTGATCGGGGTGGGGACAGATGAGAGTGGTAATAAAGAGTGAGTAAAGTCTTTGAAGAGTATAATTGACATTTTAAAGTTAAATCCTATGATAATAAATGCATCGGTCTCGTGAAGAAAAAACACGCATTGATTAAGCACCTCCTACTAAACAACGGGTGAATAAAACATGTTCTATAAAGAGTACTCACTAACCCGTGAATTAAACATGTCCCAAATCTCTAACATATCAAATTATGATTTGGGATCAACCCATGTCAGATCAAAAGGATTGCCATGCCTATTAAGTTCCATCACAGGCCATATTGACCCTTGTTTTGCAGCCTAGACCGTGAATGACTCCTCCATCCACACACCACATTGCTGAGACTTTAATCACTTCCAAAGTTGTGTGAGTCGTAGGACTCGTAGCAAGCAAAATTATCACCTAGTCTAATATTTGGCTTAATGTTTTAATCTTCCAATTGCATTAATGATCTCAAATTTATATTCAGTTCTTTTACCATGCAACGGGTTGAAGGATTTAATCAAACTATTGCAAAAAGAAAGCCTGCAATTTTGTCCACCCCTTAATTAATTTACTCCGTATTAAAGAATCATCGTACAATATACTCCCTGAATGTCTGATCCCTCAACTAAAGGCCACATTGTTTTTTGTTTGTGTTTCATTGCTTTATATTTTGAATTGAAGCATTGACAGAATGAAATGGTGTTGGGTGTTTTATAGCTGGAAATGTTGTTTTCTCATGGGGGAGAGGAGAGGATGGGCAGCTTGGCCATGGTGATGCTGAAGATAGGTTTTTGCCTACTCAAGTGAGTGCATTGGATGGGCAGGAAGTAGTATCTGTTATTTGTGGAGCTGATCACACAACAGCTTATTCCGAGTCACTCATGCAGGTCTACAGTTGGGGATGGTATGCTAAATTATAGTCCTCAATTAGCTTATTGATATTGATGCATTGTGGTTTTATACATAAAAATAGTGGTCTTATACAAAATCATAACAATAATAAAAACTCAGAAGGTATGATAGATGAAGTGCTGTTTGCAAGTACTATTCATTATTTCAGGTTTTTGACATTATTTAAGTAACACATTACCTACTACCTCCGTCCCCCTAAATTTGGGACAAAGGGGTGTGGTGTGGTTTTTAAGAAAAAGTAGAATTGTGTGGTTGATATTGAATTGATAAAGTGTGAATAAAGTAAGAATGAATTCTAACCACTCAAATATTACCAAATATGTTATGAGACAAACTTAATAGGACCAATGAAAAGGGTAAAACGGGACAAAGTTAGAGGGACGGAGGGAGTATTTTTCTAATGGTCTTATACTCTTATACAAAATTTGATAACTGCAGTTAATTTAGTATGCCTGTAATGACCCAAACAATACTAATTTTTAATAACATTTATCCTAAATGAATCCTTGTAAAAATTATCTAAATGAAGTCAGAAGTTGAAGGAAAAATGATTGAACAAGTGCTGAAAAAGTTGATGAATATTCTGAAGTCCAGTGGGTGAAGAGCTGTGCTAGCTTTGGTGTACACCTTTCGTACACTCGTTTGTCTCACGCACACAGAGTTGTCTGTCCACCGACAACTCTACAGAGTTTAATGAAATCATGTGTGCGTGAGACGGACGGGTGTACGGAAGGTGTACACCAAAATGTGTACACCAAACATTTTTTTTGGTGAAATCCTAATTCTAAATTCTAATACTTTCAAAACTGAGATTTTGTAATGTCCTTTTTTCCTACGTAGTATTATTATGAAAATATAAGTCCCTAATTTTTTTCCAAACCATTTTAGAAAAAAAAAAGATGACACCCCATCTCTGAGGATCTCAACCCCGACGGAACGGTACGTTGTTCCAAACCATTTTAGTACCCTTGGGTTACACATTGAGTAAAAAGTGTAGATAAAAAAAGAGGGCATGGTATACGCCCGAGTAGCGAGTACTCTCTACTCCTTAGTAGGGTTGTAAACAAATCAAATAATTTGTACACAAATATGTGTCCTATTTTATCCAATCGTCTGTGGTGAGTACTAGGGACTACCTAGTACTCACCACACGCGATTGGATAAAATAGGACACATATTTGTCTAATGACTTTTACTGTGAATAAAGTCAATAAACTACTACAAAAACACATTCTCATTTCCATTAATGGATGGGCTCACTGGTTAATATGAATGAATTCTTTTATCCCGTGAGAAAATTTCAACCGCCTAATTTGACAGTCAAACTATTGCAAAAAAAGTAAACCGCGCAAAAATTAATAAGAAATTGAGACAAATGGAGTCATCATTATTCATTACTTTTCCAATGTCTTACTTCCGGATAGATAGCATATATTCTTTCTATTATCCTCCAGACAATTAGATTTGCAATTCTGTTTGACATTCCTAGTTGTATAATGCTAGTTTTAACCACTTTGTTGCAGGGGTGACTTTGGGAGATTGGGCCATGGAAACTCTAGCGACTTGTTTATCCCTCAACCAATCAAAGCATTGCACGGAATACAGATAAAGCAAATTGCTTGTGGGGACAGCCATTGTTTAGCTGTTACCATGGAAGGAGAAGTCTGGAGGTTTGCTGCATTTTCCCTACTTTCTATTATTTTGATACTCCCTCGTCCCTTATAACTTTTTCAAGTTTGACCGTCACATAGATTAATAAAGTAAAACCTGTGTGGTTGAGGTTTGTGCAGAGAAGAGAGAATTAACTGGAACCACAAATTCTTTACTTAAAATGAAAAATGTCAAAGTTAATAGAGTATCTAAAAAAAGAAAGTTGACAAAGTTATAAGGGAGGGAGTATAAACATACCAAACCAGACTTTTTTGTTTCTTACAAGTATAGAAATTATGTTAGTTATTTGCTTCAGAATTGACCAAAACTTGTTCAACAATGGGTTCTCCCAGTGTGTGAAGATCTTTCCATGTAATTGCTTCTGCAGAGAAATAGTGTTGAAATTAGAGTGGCTTGTAATGATGCGTGGTATACAAATTTTCAATTTTGGAACAGAAAAAGTAATTTGTTCTTTATGTGACCAGCAATTCAGCTTTGAGAGACACTGTTGGTCAATTTAGATGGAGCCTTTTGGAGGACTAAGTTTACATTGAAATATTTTTTAGCTAAAAAATAGTGAAGGGTTCACATAATATGCTATTGTATACCATTTAAAGAAAAATATTATACGATCACACATGATGTTAACCTTCTACTTTGAATCACCTCTTATGTAGCTTTTGAAACATTATATTTATCAAGATATAGACTAAGCCCAATAGTCTTCTTTCCAAACCCCTTCAAAATCTTAAATCTAAACAGGAAAACAGACCCTTAGAGTTATCACTAAACTTAATGACAATCTTTTTAATGCAAACTTATATTATAATTAAAGATAAATTCAAGCGACCCTTCAGATGGAACTCCTTATTGGTGCGAATTCAATAACTTTTTACAATCTTACCACTTCTTAACCTTCAAAGTCATCTTGTTTGTTAGATTTTGATCCTCTTTGTATCGAACTTCATCAAGTTAAATATCTATGCAGTTGTACATGGATACATTCTAAATTTTGTTAAAGTAGTTTCTTATTATATGAATTCATTGTCTGTCAACTTGAAGTTGGGGGAGGAATCAAAATGGTCAATTGGGTCTCAGCACTATAGAGGATTCTCCTTTGCCTCAGAAGATTGAAACATTTCAGGTATTCGCGGACTATTTATTCTTATTTCAACTATTCTGCAAGGTCCTTTGAGGGCTACATTTTTTTATTTTGTTCTTCCTTTTTGCTTTTATATTCCCGATAGCTGGACAGGGGCCTACTTACATCCATACACATTGCAATTAGCTTACTGAAAGGTTTTATCTTGTAGGGAATTCCTGTGAAGATGGTCGCTGCAGGTGCTGAACATACAGCTGCTGTGACTGAAGATGGTGAGCTGTATGGTTGGGGATGGGGGCGATATGGTAATCTGGGTTTAGGAGATAGGAATGATCGCTTAGTCCCTGAAAAAGTTTCAGCTATACAGGTAATTAGGGTGTCTAACTAATGCTCTATGTTTCAAAGAAGCCACATTTGTTATGATTGATATCTTCAATCTTTTTTTATTTGCTAAAAAGAGCTTCTATGTGACAATTTATACTCTCCTGGTCCTTATTAAAATGCACATTTTAATAGGTGGTCAAAGGTCCTTTTTATAAAGAATTGGGAGTTTCCTATTACTTTTTCCCCATTGTTTGCCTTAATATATATTGTCTCATGTTTATTCTATAAAAGTGTTTACTTACAAGGCATGCGGAAAGGCTGAAATTGGGATACCATACTTTTCAGGAATCGAAAAAAACTTAACTACTTCTCTTTGGTTTATGTAATTTGGTCAGTGGTGTCTTATGATAAGATCCAGAGTGAGCACTAAAGAAACTTCCAGAGGAATTCCTATAATAGTTTTCTTTCCTCTGTATTCAAAAAAACTTTGTAGCAATAATCGGCTACAGAATGATGGTAAAACTTAATCATCTTATGTTCTTGAGAGACTTAACATGTGAATGCTTCTAGGTTGGTTTCTGCACTTCCTGTGCTGCATTAGTTTTTCCTCGTTTGTCTTATGATAGTTTAACGTTGCAGGGAGAGCAGATGATTATGGTAGCTTGTGGATGGCGACATACAATATCTGTTTCTTCCTCTGGATCTTTGTACACTTATGGGTGGAGTAAATATGGCCAACTAGGCCATGGAGATTTTGAAGACCACCTTGTCCCCCTTAAGCTTGAAATGTTGCATGGTGCATCTATTTCTCAGGTACTTTTTTTCAAAATTTATATTAGGGAGCATGTGTCAATATCTTCTAATCTTTTGCCAATGTGACATATGAACTCTTCATTCTCGTATGCACACGCATAACAGTTTTTTTAATGGAATATTAGATATGCATGTGTAACCTGCTTATTTGCCTGAATTATATTATTAATTTTATTTTGTATCCCTTTTTCTTCAGATATCAGGTGGATGGAGGCACACCATGGCACTCACAACTGATGGTAAGCTCTATGGTTGGGGATGGAACAAGGTGATTATTTTATCTCTTTTTGTAACTCTTGAACTAGAATGTAACTATATGTTTGATTAAGCCACACTTTTTTGTACTGTTGTGCACATATTTTTTATTCATATTCTTTAGAAACAATCTGAATACCAACTGAGGGTTTAAAGATGGCTTTTCCCTTTTAACCTTTTTATGCCATCTCTTTTCCTGCCTAACACATGAAAGCTTATATGTACACCGTATTTGTAACTGGATGTGTAAATGTTTTCCTTCACCATTTTCATGATTGTACATGATTAATGATCACTTCTCATGTACGGAGTAACAAATATAGAAAAAACACGGCCCCGATGTATAATTAAGCATTTTGTTTTTTACATTTTCCTTTGCACAGTTCGGACAAGTTGGTGTTGGTGACAATGAAGATCGTTGTTCACCCACGCAAGTGGCATTCCCAGATGATCAGGCATGGCCTTTACGTACTTTTCATTTAAAAATGACAGTTCTACACAATCCTAATTCAGTTTTAGAGTTGCTGACATTCTGCTTTGTCACATTTCAGAAAGTCGTTAAAGTGGCATGTGGTTGGAGGCACACAATAGCTGTTACTGAAAGACAAAACGTCTTTTCTTGGGGTAGAGGCACAAATGGACAGTTGGGTCATGGAGAATCTGCTGACAGGTAAAGTTCCCTTATACCAGCTTGTAAAATAAATGAACGCTTGAATATGCTTTTAGTCCCTTCAAATAAATCACATTTTGCTTTAAGTATCTGCAATTTTATTTTTCATTCAAGAAATATACTGTTATCTTTAGTCTCTTCAACTCTGGACATTTCAAAAAAAAAAAAAACTCCGGACAGTTTTCATTAAGAATAAAATTGGCGTCGCTTGCATAACTTTATTCTAAACTTTTTACCTCATTTTTATAACTGTTTGGAGAGTATTGGTGGGGCTAAAGCTCAGAGAAACTAATTAATTACGTTCTAATATAGGTCTCAATGGCTTTCGGAAAATTATATTTCATCATTTTTGAATGACTTGATAAAGAAAGACAGAAAACTTGTTGGGCATGTTTGTTTCATCGTCAAACTGAGGTTGCTAAGGACCAAAAACATATTTAAGCCATAAGTAAATAAATAGAAAAGAAAAGAAATACTACGTAGAAAAGAATCTGTGTATCATCCCTTACCTGCATCGAGATGGCAATGATACATAGAAGATAGTTACAATTTTATTTATAAGCCATCCGACTGGTACTTTGAACTTTCCACTTCAGAAATCTGACATTTTGGCATCGGTTTGTAATATGAAGGAATGTCCCGAAGATCATAGAAGCATTAAGCGCGGATGGATCAAATGTGCAACATATAGCAGTTTCCATGTCCAATCCAACTGCAGCAGGTTCTTGTGAACACAATGCCTTGTTTTAGATAACTTAGTCCAAGAAATTCTTTTCCCTGACTGCATTCCTACCTATCCTCTCTCTTTTTTTCCAGCTGAAAAATATCGGATTTCACCAACACAGAGATATGCAGTTGTTCCAGATGAGAATGTATGATTCCTTTCTACTAGCCCTTTCCGTTTCAAGACCAAGAATGTTTTTGTTTTTTTTCTATAACAAATTTCATTGTTTCGAAAATTTGGCGTCATAATCTCTACAAAGTTAAAATGACTCAATTATATTGCTTGTTATCTCATGGACCTCATGGTAACATCTATATGCAGGCTACGGGCAATGGAAATGATTTAAGTGTCCCCGAAAACGATGTGAAGAGGATGCGGATATGAATGAGAATAAATTATTGTCTTAATGCGCTGAGTTATAACGATGTTTTGTACCAATCGATCATCATTCTCTATATTTGAGATCGCAGTAGTATTCTTCTCTTTCTATCTAATAGGTGTTTGAAGTACTTCTTTTGAATTTGAAGGGACAAAGTTAAAAATCTCACCTTCGTGGTTACGTTTTATCTATATCATAAACTACTCCTTTTTAAGGAGTGTCTAGCAGTCTAGTTTATGTTACATTTTGCACGGAGTAATAATCTTTTTATGCGAGTTATGGATGCACTTAGGGGTGGACCCGCATGGTCTGGATCCGGCACTGTTTGGGACCCGCATGTCCGCCCAAGATTGGTACCGGGTCTTGGTTCACCTATTTGGGAACTGAATGGGGCAATCCCGGACCAGCGGCTTCTTTTTAGCCTTGGAAACGGGCAAAAATAAAAAAGAAAATGGGACCCGATCCATACCGGGAGCGGAATCGGGACCAGACCGCCCGGCTACTCGGAACCAGTCCAAACCCGGATATACCTAGGTCGGACCCGAGCTTCTCTAACCAATGACCGGGATTGGCTGGACCAAGCCCAAGTTCACCCCTAGATGCACTAAACAAAATGCGATCTTGATTTCTAACGATCAAAATCTTATCTGACTTGACTTCTTTTGTTCAGAGGTGATTCCAAAATTAAATTAAGTAATCTGGAGCAGTTAAAAAGAATATGTGAACGTAACAGTGCATGAAAGCTCTTGTATACTGTTGATGGTATTGGTCCACCTCACCCGGGCCACCTCTATGTCTTGGTCCACCTCATTTAATATGCTGGTCTCCTATTTAATGTTCTGGCCCAACTGGGCTAGAAACCTGACCAAGCCCATTCCCTTTTCCCTTGTCTTATACCCAGTCCATGCCCGTGTGGCCCTCTCTTATATTGTCTGGTTCTTTCTCGAATCTCCTATTTGACTCCTCCCCTTCTTTAGGGTTGGATTCGGTTCGGGCCACCCGGCCCGTGACCCGGCCCGTGACCCGGCCCGGCCCGGTACTGTGCGGGCCCGGGACCGGCCCGGTTCGGGCGGTCCGGGACCGGGTATGGGCCCGAACCGGTGGGAAGGGCGGGGCGGGCTCGGTTCAGCATTTTTGTGACCCGGCCCGGCCGGGTCGGGCCCGGGCCCGGGTCCGGTCCAATTTTTTAAAAAAAAAAAAATTTTGTTTGGGCTCCTACTAGCCGTTGGGGGTGGGGGTGGGGGTGGGGACAACCCAAACGGCTATATAGCCGTTGGGTGGGGTAAAGGGGGGGTCCGGGGGGGTTGGGTGGTGGGGGGTTGGTGGGGGGGTGGGGGGTAAAAAAAACCCTATAAATACTCCTAATCTTAAACATTTTTTCATATCTCTTCTCCAATTCTTCCTATTCTTATCTCTCTACTCTCTAATTCTCTTATTCTCCAATATATTATATATCTACTCTCATATTCTCTTCTCCAAGAAGTTAAGATGGAAAATCAAAATGCCATTATACGGTATAATTTTGATAAGCAGAAGGACCCGAAGACCGGGATGTGGTACGCAATTTGCAAATGGTGCGGAAAAAAATGTATAATGGGGGCTTCAGGCGGATTTGGGATGGCAATCAAGCATATGAAGTCATGTGACAAAGCCAAAGGATCGGGAGGTGCAGGAAGTTCCGATTGATTACAATTTTCAAAATGTTTATCTCTTATATGTAGTTCCTATTTCATTTCAAATAAATGCAATTGAAGTTTGTTTTTAATACTCGTATAAAACTATTAACTATAAATATAAATTAAAAAAAAAAACCGACCGGCCCGAATCCATCACTACCCTTCTTCCTCCTTCCGATGAGGCAATCGGTTGGTTTCCCTAGACCTAGAGTGAGAGAGTTTCTGTTCCCGGAGAGTACTAGCTCCAGCTATACTCCGGTGATACGTTGGGGTTCCCTTAGGGGTCTTCACTCTAGTCTGGTAGTGTGGTGGGTTGGTTTTACCTCCGGTGGGTCTTTTGGGCTGGGGTCTGGGTTCTGGTTGTGAGGGCTTGTTGGATGTCGCCCTTCGTCTTCCTTGATTGTAACTCTGGTGGTGAGTGTGAGCAAGCCCTTGGGCTTTGTGGTGATTGAGGTCTGAGCCGGTTCGAATTTCTAACAGCGGTATCAGAGCCTGGACGCTGCTGCCTCTCGCTGACGCCGGAAGCTCACCGGACAACTCCCACACCGGAAACAACTACTGCTCCATCGAAGTTGGTAAGTCGGGTTGTCTTTGCTGGACACCCGCTCAGGTATAACACCAAAACCCTAACCTTTGGGCTGCCAGAGTGCCACCGGCTTCTGTGTTGCATGGGTAGTTCTGTAACCCTAAGTTAAGGAACTGTCGGTTAGAAACCCTAGCTTTTCCGTTTGCATGTGCAGATTCTGTCTAGACAGATCTGCAGAAACCCTAAGTTTGTTGAAATAGTGCATGAGTGGTCCAATCTGTGTCGAACTTGGCCACTGGTTATATGTGAACTTGTTTTGCTAAAATTATTCTCTGTGTGATTACCTCTGAACCTGTCTCTGTATTGTTGTAGCTTGCCCTAATTTCTGTTGTATTATTTGTGTTATTTCTCTGCTCAGACAGTCTGTTAATTTTTCCTGTGCTTGGTGTTGAGTTCTGGTAATTGTGTGGCTTCCTAACCCCTGGTTGGCTAGGGCACCTGAGGTTAGGGCTAAGTGATTCCCTGCCAGCCACTTCAGTGGCCCCGGAACTGCGTGGTCACTTAGTCCGCAGCCCAAACCACCAGGGTTAAGCCTTTATATTACCTGTATCTCTGCAGTTTTGTAGTGACTGTTATCATGGCTTCAAACCAGTATGGTATGATGCCTTTTAATGGTAAGACTGACTTTGATATTTGGAAACACAAAATAAAATGTGTGTTAATACAACAGAAAGTTCATAGAGCTGTTACTGGACAATACTTAGAAACTGAAGAAAAACCTAAACAAGTTGAAATGAATGAAACAGCCTGCTCAACCATATACTTGTCTGACTCTGTCCTTAGAAAGGTTGGAGTCATTGAGTCTGCTAAAGACCTCTGAGATAAACTTGAGTCTCTATATACTGATACTTCCCTTCCTGGCAAACTGTTTTTGTTGGAAAAGTTTTTAGGTTCAGACTTGACCTAACAAAAGATATTGATGAAAACCTAGATGTTTTTAATAAACTAATCCAAAACATTAAGCAGGCTGGGGATAAACATAAAGATGACTACACTGTCATAGTCTTATTGAATGATATGCCTGATTCCTATAATGATGTTAAGTCTGCCATTAAATATGGGAGGGATGACATAACCCTAGATATTGTTATTAATGGCCTAAGAAGTAAAGAACTTGACTTAAAACATTCTAGGAACCATCATAGGGAATCTGGGGAAGCTTTGGTTGTTAGGGGAAGGTCTAAAAGCAGGTCTAGACACCCTAAAAAGGACAATCAGGATAAGAATGGTAGACAACCTAGTAAGAAGAGTATAAGTCTAGGAAAAGAGTCTGCTATAACTGTGGTAACCCAGGACACTTCATAAAAGATTGCACCCAACCTAAGAGAAATGACCAGGCTAATGCTGTGACTAGTAAACCTATAGAGGAAGAAGTCTTTATGGTCTGTGATCAAGCCGATTCTGTGCTTAGTAGTCTGACTGAATCTGAATGGTTAATAGACTCTGGATGTACCTACCATATGACCCCTTTTAGGAATCTGTTTTCCTCCTATAACTTATGTGAAACTGGTTTTGTTTCCTTAGCTGATAGTAAAAGGTGTAAGGTCCTTGGTATTGGTGACATCTGTCTAAAATTTGAAAATGGAACTGTTTTTCAAATAAAAAATATCAGGCATTACCTGATCTAAGGCATAACCTATTTTCAGTCTCTGCTTTTGAAGAATGTGGTCTTGAGGGTAAATGGGGTAATGGGTGTATGAAAATTCTGAAAAACTCCCTTGTTTTGTTTAAAGCTTTGAAACAAAATAACCTTTATGTTGTGCATGCCAAACCTTTTTCTGAAAATGCTAATGCTGTACTTAGTGACAAGTCTGTGCTTTGGCACCAAAGACTAGGTCACATGAGTAATAGAGGATTAAACATTTTGAAACAAACTGGATGTTTTGGTAATGACTTGGTGTCACCTATACCTTTCTGTGAAGGTTGTGTCTTAGGTAAACAACATAGGGTTCAATTTCCTGTTTCTAGCTATCCTAGTGAGTCTAAGTTCAAAGTTGTCCTTGACTACATACATGCAGATGTATGGGGTCCTTCCAGTGTCCCTACCCATGGGGGTAGGAGGTATTTTCTGTCCATAATTAATGACTTTTCTAGAAAAGTCTGGGTCTGTTTGCTGGAACATAAATCTGATGTGTATGTTTGTAATACCCGAGATTAATATAAAAGGATTAATAGTACTACTCATACCAACAGAGGTGCATCTCCTTTTAAGGGAGCTCATCACCCAAGAACTCCAAAGTTAAGCGTGCTTGCACGAGAGTAGTCTTGGGATGGGTGACCCCCTGGGAAGTTTCTCAGGGCGCGCATGAGTGAGGACAAAGTGCGTGGTAAAGGCTCGTGGTGGTTTGTGAGGAAAGTACTATAGAGTTTAGAAGTAACTACCTCGAGGCCTACGAGGTCGGGGTGTTACAGGTGGTATCAGAGCAACCCTGCGATAGTGTACTGACCCGTTAGATATCGGGCGGGCATTTAGCGGGGCAAGATTCTGGGGTTTGATTGAGATTGTTAAGGGCGCAACGAGGACGTTGCGATCCTGAGTGGGGGTGATTGTAATACCCGAGATTAATATAAGAGGATTAATAGTACTACTCATACCAACAGAGGTGCATCTCCTTTTAAGGGAGCTCATCACCCAAGAACTCCAAAGTTAAGCGTGCTTGCACGAGAGTAGTCTTGGGATGGGTGACCCCCTGGGAAGTTTCTCAGGGCGCGCATGAGTGAGGACAAAGTGCGTGGTAAAGGCTCGTGGTGGTTTGTGAGGAAAGTACTATAGAGTTTAGAAGTAACTACCTCGAGGCCTACGAGGTCGGGGTGTTACAATGTTAGGTTTAAAGAATGGGAAAATATGGTAGAAAATCAAACTAGATGTAAGGTTAAAACCCTTAGAACTGACAATGGATTAGAATTCTGCAATAAGGATATGGATAGGTTGTGTATTGAGAGTGGGATGAGGAGACA